TATATATATATATATATATATATATATATATATATATATATATATATATTAAGATGAAAATGTTCTAGAGTGTGTATTATATAATTTCCATACCCAATTTGTCTAGTTGACTATAAATTTAGCCATGTGTTATATTGCGATTGAGTAGGCGAGGTCTGAGACATTATCAGATAATTTCACCTTTCAATGTCAAATTTCTAACAAGCCGAGGCCTATTTTAGATCAATATACAGCAAAGGTGCAGTAATCTATACCTCGAGATAACCTAAATATGACCTTTCTATAGGCCATACGATGTACGTATATGGCAATATGGCTATATAAAAACCAACAAAACGCAGTCGGAGGTCTCTAAACCAGACGGGCGTCGCACGCCCAACAATGACAAGGAATACAAGTTAATTTTCTCATTTCTCATGCTGCACTGTACTAATATCTTAAATTGGCTTGGCGCGTGCATATACCCCTTATGGAAATAATATATCATGCATTAAATATCATATTTTAACTAGTCCTCACTAGTCAGATTGAACACAATGTAGTTTATGCAGCCGAAGTAAAGTGATAGAATGTAAAGCGGTATGTTATTTTTTGTGTTTGTTTCGAAACTTTTCAATCCAGTTTTTCGCCACATGCTATCTGACTGCTGTTCGTGCAGATGTACAATGTAACAATGTACGGTATTGGTCCGTCTATAAAATATACTACTTCCTTGTTCTGAGAACAAAACTACATTAGATAATTAATAATGGACCTTAATAACTAAGAGGAAAGTGTTTGCTAGAAAAGGCTAGATAGATTTCAAATTTGGTCGAAGTTCAGGTTACCAAAACAGAGTAAAGAATAAATTGGATGTATATAACAAGAATAAATAAATAAATTGAATGTATATAAATAAATAATAAATCATGAATAAATAATAAATTGGATGTATATAAGCTGCATGTTTCCAGTCCAGAAACTTCTATACCTTTTCTATAGAATTTTCCGAAGGTTAACTTGTAACCTTGAACAATGATTTTATTAATTGCTGCATGAAAAATGGTTTATCTCACTCAAAATACAACGTGTTGAAAACATGGTGTTGAAATGTCCATTATATTGTCACGTTTGGCGTTGACGGAAATGTGAGGAAAATGACTTTATTTTTACCGAGATTTAATAGTCACAGTATGTTGTATTATTGATAAAGAAAATTTGGCCTCAAGGGATCTAGTTTTTTTTCGATTGCCGCTGATGTGCAGATAAAATAGTAATTGTCAAATACTATCATTTGCCAAGTTAAAGTTGCAAGATAACGAACGATACAACTCTAACATCAACAGCGAAAAACTGCAACAACAAGTCAACAACAACAACGACAGCAAAAACTGCAGTCGACAACAGATGAGGCAATGGGTAGGGATAGACAGAGTTGGATAACACTAGTTTACATTTCCATGAAAACTAATCACTGCACGTGTACCTTGTCTTAAATATTTTATTGCATGGTTCGGTTTAATTGCATTGCAGTTCTACAAAGAATTACACATGTAATACAGTGCATCATTCAACCAAGATTACAAGAGGTTTTATTCGAGCTTGAACGATAATTATAGACGAACTAAACGAAAGTGAATTTTGAGTAGCATCGTACATGCGTTTCGAACGTGTTTATACAGTAACCGATTAACCGATTTACTCGTGTTTTTCGGCACGGCATTTTATAAGCTACCTATTATAATACCGCAAACTTTTTGATATGCAATTTAAGAGATATTATTTCAGACATTATGACATAACAAAACACTTTTTCTGTTCGCTCCCAAAATCAAACAATTTTTATATGGCCTTGCTTATATGAATGAGATCATGTTACGCATTTGTAATTTAATAGGATGAAACTAATTACAAATTTGGCAGCCACTTAGTCTAAAATTTTCTAAAGAAGATTTGCAGCCTTTTGTTATATACAGTTAATCCTAGGATTAAAGACAATACAACGTAGAATATTGTCTAATATGCCAATGGCACACCTTAGCAACAGAACTGGGAAGTCAAGCGTATTCTGGGACATATTAAGTATCAACATGAGATGTGCTTCAGTAATATAGTGGCAATATACCGTACATGCACGCGTCTCTCACTGTTCAAAACAAAAGTAATTTACACCTAGCTAAAGTATTAATACTAGAACGGATAATATCGGCTTTATTAAAACCGCTCTTCGTATTATATAGTTTGTCTGAGATGCTTTGCAGAATTGGATTTGCCGTAATTTGCATCAGAATAAAATTGGCAACAATTACTGCATTAGTCATGCTTATAAACTTCGCCCACATGTGCTGGCTTAAATGTTATTAAAATGTTATATGCGTGTATTGACATTGTTACTCAATATAACAGAAGCATGCACAGTAGTCATAAATCTTGTTTTTTCGAGCTCTTAGAGTAAAGTCGCAATGCCGGAAAGAATTGGATTAGATTATTTAATAATATTGTCACTTTGACTTTGACATAAATTTGCATTCTCGAAATTCCGAACTAGTTTGCTGCAGAGAGCTGTGCATGCATATAAACATGTGTTTTTTGGTAGATTTGAAAACATGCTCACAATTTATAAGATATTCTGAGATTCTACATTACTGAAACTGAAAGTGAAACAAAACTTTTTCCCTGAAAAACTGGAATAGTAATATATTTATTATAGTAACAATAATATTCCCTGGTCTTTTGTTTGGCATCGCTGAGAATAAAATGCTTTCTTGTTTTGACTTACACGAAGGGAAATACAACAGATGTTTGCACCCAAACTTCAAATAAAATAGTAAAATTGTTTGCATGTTGGCCGCTCTTTTATTTAAATTAAAGACTTCACTGTCAGATGTACAGGAGTAAACATTGCAATTGAATAATTATAAAGAAAATAACGTAAACAAAACGTCAAAAGCCTTGGCCCTTGCATGTATAGTTTTAGATTCAGAAATAGCATACAAATTTTAAATAGAAAACTGAAACTTTCATTTCATATAATATTGTGTTATTTACTTTTGTTTTTCACAATTTTTATACAGCCAAATTTAACTTTTATAGAGTATACTGTGTGGTACTGTGGTTTAATAGCTAAGGTATTATATACCTATGGAAACATATATATTGAGCAGTATTAGAACCGAGATTAGAACAACGTCAACGTGCAAACATAGCCATAGCTAGCCCACATAGGCATTTTGTCTGTTTCTGATTAGATCATTCCTTGTCGCATTGTAATAAAGCGTGGTAATATTCTTATTTCCTATATAGCAGTCTAATGCAAGTTTTATATTGTCGTCAGAATTATTTTTAGCATTGTTATCATGCAAAAACAATTTTAAATATGCATATTCAGAGTGTGCAGGTGTTTCGATAAATGCAGCAAAGACAATGAAAGTGAACTATATAATATGTACTTTATCATTGAACAAAGATTCTTTATATTTTTCCTTCGGAATGACAATTTTGCATCTCCTAAGTAAAACAGTACTGTACACTTCGGTTAAATTAAAAAAGTTTTAGTTCTAATATTTATTATTGAACTGGATATGTGTTCTTACATATTGACCTAAGTCTCAGTATTCTGTGCCTGATCAAGGTTTTGTGGGAAAAAAAATTTTCTATGATCCTCATATATAAACAAACAAATAAATAAACAAATAAATAAATTAACTGCATGCAGAGTAGAATGAGGAAGAGAGAAGAGTATCCTAACATGGAGAATACCATTCAGTAACACAACTTTATCAGTAGCTATATTGCAACTTATTAAATAATTTATTATTGTACAGCCTATTCACAAGACCAAAGGCTATCGTCAAGGAACACTGAATTAAACCAGAGTTTAACCCTATTGTGCCCACTGCACAGGCATCAGCAGATACCATACCTCCCACTTGGAAATAAGCATAAGAATTTTGATAAGTCGGGGAAAAGGCCAAGAATTCTGGCAAAATTCGGTCATGGCTAAAGGCGATGGACGAGAGAGGCAGGATTTCAAGATGGCCTCAAGTTTTTAAAATGTAAAAAAGTCAGCAACCAGCCACTTGCAACAATACTAAACCTTACCCTTACCCCACACCTAACCCTAATCCTAACCCCCACACTAACCCTAATACTAATGCAAACTCTTATTTCAATTTTGGAATCATCTCGAAAACTACCTCTCATCCATCATTTTTAGACATTACCCCTAATAATCCCTCCTGTATGCCTATGGCAATAAGCCCTGATACACCTTTGCCAGTTAATATTTAACCCATCCATCTGCAGTGCACCCGGACCCACTGAGCCAAGTGTTGGGTATTCAATGCATTGTCCATTGATCGCCAGCGCTCTCCCCCTTTGATAAGTAAAATCATATGGCATTAGATGGAGTAAAATAATAAAGCGGGGCACAATGCAACTTAATGGGTTAATATCCTGATTATTCCTTAAATTTACTTAATTGAAAATAGTGATTGGTAGTATTAAGGACTGATTCTTATAAATGACCATAACTAAACCAACATTATAAATGACCATAACTAAACCAACATTAACAGTTACCAATTAAGTATTATTACATTGGGTACTCTCATACCATTTCATTCTGGCAATAATACCATTCTATTACACTTGCTATCACAGAATAATAGGCTAAATCCATCAAAATGGTGATAAACCCATTTTATCTAATCCTACCTTGTCTTCTCGCCTTTTTAGTGCTATCCCAGTACAGCTTTTATAATTGAGACTCTTTTACTGATTTATAGAACATACCAGATGAAAAGGTCAAGGACTCAAGGGCATAATTTGGCACGAAAAGACATTAACTATTCAAAATACCCCAACAAAAATGCAATTTTACAGACCATCGCAGCTAATATAGAAAAAAAACATGTACTTACGATTGGTACTTTCATCTGTTTGTGTGTTCTGTACATTGCCGTCATGAACTTGTGCCAAATCACTCAAAATTAGACTTTGTCTGGGCAACGGAGTTGGCCTGTCTTTAAGCTCTGTTGCATTGAAACACGAATCAGATTGACTGTGGGACAGAGGCCTCTTCTTCGGTGGTAGCACCGGTCGAAAACCACCACCACCGTCTACGAATTCGCCGTCTTCTTCAATGTTCTTTTCGTCGGGGTCCGACCTGTCGTTATAAAAGTCTCTATCGTCATCCGCGGACCGGTTGTGTATATAGTACGGCTCTATGTCTTCCAAACTCCTTTGCAGTTCTTCCAAATCTACAACTTTGTACGGTAAAATAATTTCGGGCTCTTCTTTATTCGGGCTGGAAACAGGTTGTTGATTTTGTCTGGTTGGTAGCGGAGGAGGTACATCGACGGTTTGGTTCGTGACCTCCATGCGAGTGGCCTCAATTCGTGAGAATCTCATAAAATTATCCGGCGTAAATGGTCTGGTGTTTTCATAGACATGTTCTCCAGATGGCCGTCTAATAGAGGACACCAATGCATCGCTTAGATCGAAGCTGTCTCGAACTTTCCCCCAAGATTGTCTGCCAGAATCTTGCGAAGACGCACTGCTTGATTGACTGCTTCGCTTGCTGCCTGTACTAAAGCGTCCGAAGTTCAACCGACCTGCGAACGAAGCGAGCGAAAGCGTATCAGGGGAAATATTTCCGTAAAACGAGCTCGTATTGCTGCTCCGGTTGCTACTCGAATTCGAAAAACTTTCCGGACTAGACATACATTCATATTCGCTTTCATATTTTATTGAATCTCGCGGCGAATTCTGCCCATCCGTCAAATCGAATGAGCCCGTCCGACGCGCTACGATTGTAGGACGATCATGATCTGTCATTACAGTACCCTCGTTATTACCCGAGATATAACTCATATTAGCATAGGCAGGTATTATATGATTCGCTTGTATTCCGTCAGTAAATTTCCGCGTTGAATATCCAAATTCCGATTTCCTGTGTGGCGTACGTGCGATATTATTGGTAAAATTGTTGAATTCTGGCCTTCGATGGTCGACTGCCGTTTGAGTGTCTGAAATACGGTCTGAAACGAAGAAAGACGTGGCCTGCAAATTAGCATTGTCACGCTCGACCGGGGTTTCTTGAATTCTTTGAGAACTCTGCTCTACGTCCTGCCCGAGTTTTACAACCATACCAAGAGGCCTCGTTACTCGTAGCTGTTACTCTTTCGCTTCGCTGGCACAGATCCCAAATTTTGTCCGCAAAATTCGGCCGCTCAATCTATTTTCTTAATCTTTATTGTTCGGCTAGCGAGACAAAATCTTGTGGCGTTTCCGTTCGTTAAATTGCTATCCAAACATCGCGAATTCCCACCGCTATTTGGCCAAGTTCCTTATTCTCGAAACAATAATCGACCAATGCACATCTTGACTTCTTATAATTTAACCGCTCGGCTCATATTATTAGATCTCCTTGATCCTTTATAACGATTTTCAACGTATGCTATTGAGAGTGTAGTTATTTGACACTTATATATACGCGACGCGAGTATTTGACGTACTTCATGAAACAAAGAGAATTTATCCAAGTTTTCTTGACGGATTTTTGTGGCTTCACTTCAAGAATTTCGCCTGCTCTTTAACGCGGAGACACCCTCTCGAGGTAAATGCGCACGAATGCTGCTTTACACATCCGCATAGACTACAGTCTATAAAAAAACAATAGGAATCGTATTTCGAGTTGGTTAATTTTTTGACAAGCCTTTGGGCTGTTTTCATAAGCTTATAGTTATCAACAGGTCGCACATGTATTCTAAGCGCTGTCGTCTGTCAACATAAATTTCTCTTGAATCGCCGTCAATACTTCATGTTTGAACCTTTTATGCGAATCTCTATTCGTCTCGGACATGTATCTCAATTTGTGAATTTTGCCTTTGTTAAATTTGACATAATCGGATAGCATGTTGCTTTTAATGACGCGAATGCGGTGTTATTTGATCAGTTAATAAGTGTCATCTTGAATAAAAGTTATGTTTCTGAATAGGCATTAACCATATGTTAACACTTGTATTTATATGATTATTTATAAAGCTCTCTGTTAATCCATAGTTAATAGAAAGATAAGGGTTAATCTAAGGTTAATATTTTGGCGGTATCCTGCTTTTTGCATGTAAAATGATAGACAGCCGACAAAACTTCAAAATCCAAGATATGGGCCGAAGTTTTTTTTCCTTTTTCGGTTCTTATATTATATACTTTTATATTAACTATGGACATGGTAAATATAATTTTAAATTTGTGTTCAGTCGCCGCTATAAGCTGTAAAATGTCCTCTTTATAATTTCTTTGCCGCTGGTTTTGCACTATAGTAGAGGAAGCCGACATCACGTATTTACTGAAACACGTCAGGAGAAAGTGCACATACTGCATATCGAACATGATTAATTTTAATTGTCAAATTGATTATCATTACTGATTATTTAGTTGCAAACAATAAACATATATACTATAACCAAATCATTTAATAAAATTTCGAAGGTAAATATAATTTTGTACATTTTTAGACCAACCATGCAGGGGCAGCTGTGAAGTATAAAATTTGCATTCGTAATTTCGATCAACAAAAACCGTTCAATATTTAACAATTATACCACGAGCAGATGAGCTCGAGTCGTATACGAGCTGATAGCCGACGAGGTGTGTAGCACCGAGTCGGCTATCAGCCATATCATATACGACGAGAGCGAATGGTATAATTGTTTTATAATAATTAATATAGTCTAATACTAATAGCCATTAACTGAAGCAATAATTAATTATCCTCTGTTACAATGTCTTGACAATTTGTTCGGCCAAAAACCGCTTGGCCATGAAAATTTGAATACGTTTTACAACTCGAAGACGAAGTGAAAGAAATGGTTTTAGAACCGGTATATATCTCACAGGAAAACTCAGATATATTCGGCAGATGTTTGGTAGTATAGTAAGTGCTTGTTGACTGCAAATTCATTTATCTGTCGTTGCAAACTTTTCTGAACAATTAATTTATATTCTCAATGAAACGTTTTTTTCGTTGTTGTTTCAGTATTAATTCCTTAAAAACTTGTATTTAAACTAATTTCTATGTAATAAATGTATTTTGCTAACCTGTCAAATTTTTTTGAGAGTTTTTCCTTGCACTATTATCTTTCTCAAAGCGAATATTTTCCTTTTTTCTGCTTCGCAAAACGGCTCATGTAGTTTTTGGACCGCCATCTTGTTTTTCGCTACTCGCCGTATATGAGCTGATATACGGCGAGTAATTCAACCAATCAGATCGCAGAACAGCTCATATAGGGTGAATGACTATATGATAAATAGTTATATTCAAGTAAGATGCCCGCCATCCTGGTATTTAGCCCACTGTAACGAAAGCCTTTTGGTTTCTACTAAGCCTTTGAGTAAATGACAGTAAATACATTGCTTTTATGTGTTCTTTGGTTGTAAAATGACGAATGAATTTGGACGAAGTAGAAGTAGTGTCACTTGATAGTATATCAATTGAATCTAACAGCAACAGAATATTGCAAATATATAACCCAAAGGCTTATCACTAAGAGACTATAATTTAGTAATTAATTTACACTTCAAAAGTTATAATTACTGTGTCACAGAATTTGTATTCAAAGATGTGTGACTAAAATTTAACATTTTCAGTCATGATGAAATATAGGTGCAGTACACTTTTGATCATGCTTCATACCGCATATTTTGATAAATCCTCCATACAAATCCCCCCATCCCCCACGAAAAAGATCGGCCCCATACGCTTTTGCGCGCAAAGGCCAGAGGGTTATAGGATTCAGTGTGAACTAGCTATAGTCCAGTTTTTCTATATATACCATCTCAAATTTACTATACTGAAACTTTATATCAACAAGAATGTTTACAGATGGTTATTCAGATAATATACTCACCGTAATAGTGAAAATTACTACCACTTTTTATCACACTTTTTTTCCGAAATCTATTTTTCAATGAGGATTACATGTACTGTACATGTACCCTATATGGAACAGGTTGTCCAACGATATAAAATCCTCTCTTAGTGTTCGGCCGCTTAAAACTAAACTCAATGAACATATTATACCTGAGAATATGTGCATATTTTGATGTTAATATATAGGCCGTGGCAAGGACCTGGAAAACATTTTGTTCTGACAATAGCCTAATAGCCTGAGTATTAGCATAGTTTCTCGTGCAATTTGAAAAAAACATACTCTCGTAAGTTTTTCAAAAACTTCAAATTGCACTCGTCTTTCGGACTCGTGTAATTTTGACAGTCTTCGAAAAAGTAGTCACTCGGCATGGTTTTTTTTTCAATTCCAAATTGCACTCGAAACCAACCAGTGAAAACTTATTGTCTCCGCCAGAAGGTTATGTATGTAGACGTGTGTCTGTGTGTGTGTTTGTTTAATTGTGAGCATGACGACCCAAAAGCTGTCACACGTATTAGATGATAGGTAATCGCATGGGGTCGAGTAAAATTATATAAGGTTTAATATCACGCGTAGTATAGTGTTTTCACAGTTTCATGCATGCATGCATGCATGCATGAATTGACCGAGTCGCGATCACGAAGCGACGAAGGCAACTGTTTGCGCATGTGAAACGTTGAAAACACAAGTGAAATTAAACTATAATATTACGAGGAACTATGCGATTACTTGTTAATCATAGAGGGCAAAATTTATTCGTAAGTTAATCAGTTGTGAACTTGTCGACAAGTTCTTGAACCTCGTATGTCTCCATGTCTTCGCCGATGCTTCTTTATACCCGAATATAATGCTGCTCTATTTCTTAACTATACTCCAACCAATAAATTTGTACTTTTTCTAGTGTTCAAGTTTTCACTAGGAGTTTTTAATTCTTCAGTAACATTATTATCCGCGACGACAAAGCGAGAAGCCAAATGTTTTTATTGCTATTTAAATAAAACGAGAAACTTCCCGCGCTTGCGTCTCAGTCAATCAGGTACAAGTAATTTTGCCCTGAATTAAGAAGAAATGCACTCTTCATTAGCCAATCATATTTGAGTAATTTTGCCCTCTATATAATTTTGCCCTCTATATGATAGCCACAAAGTATTGCCACCAGTTAAAACTGTTTTAAATTTGGTAATATTTTCAGGTGCATGCAAAACGGACGCAGCTGTGCTAAAGAATTTTGCAAAATCTCTTCTTGAGATTTATCAAACATGAAGAACATCGTAAGACTGAAGGTATTATAATTATTCTATTACATTAAGCTTAGAGGCGGGTTTTTTTTGCATTATCACGTAACTCGCGCTTAAACCAAGCGACACAAGTAAGGCTCCCTATATATATATATATATATATATATATATATATATATATATATATATATATATATATATATATATATATATATATATATATATATATATATATATATATATATATATATAAGCAAGACTCTCTCGGCATCTGTTGAAGACTACGATGCATTCTAAAATTAATACTATAAGAACTAGTACAAGCTCCTCCAGAAAGCTCCTGGTAATTCATTTACATGATTTCCAAAGATCTGCTGAGTATGTCAAGTCCTTGGCATCATCATGCCGTAGTATTCTAGCGATGTTGCGATAAGTTAGAAATTTAACAACCTAATACTTAGCTATATACTTAGTATTAATTTTAGTATGTATTGCAGTCTTCAACAGATAAAGAGCCTTTTCTGCCGCTAGTGTATTCTTATATCTCTTTATTCGTTTTGTTTTCAAGGTTGTATTTTTGTGGCCGCTTATAGGGATGATTGGCGACGTTGTAGCCACAACAGGTATCATACTAATGTAAAAATCTAACTGAACTAAACTATTCCGAGTAACTATAACAAGTCTCCATATGTATGAAAGGAATCCAGTCTGATTTACGTTTGGGAATCCGGAATCCAGAGCATGGAATCCTAATTTTTTTTTAGGACGGTCGAGATTTCTCAAGGGCGGTCGAGATCGAAAAATTTTCTAGCACGGTCGTGATTGAGATCTCGTACCTTCAATAACACTGTTTTGTGTTTTTTTCTACAGATACGAAGGCGGTTGCCGACAAAACCCCCATGCACAGGAAAAAACCCGCCGACAATATCCCCGCCGACAATTAATATCCCCGCCGACAAAAACCCCAAATTACTGAATCCAGACGAAAAACCCACATTTTAATCCCAAGTGAAGTATAAAAAAAAATGAGAAAAGTTCTTTTAATTGCTTGATATCACATGACTCGCACTTCGTGCTCAAAACGTCGAGATTTCAATGGGTTTGAGTTCGAGTCAACTTTGGCGTGCT